TGATTTTTTTTAGTGTTTTTTAAAGTTTTTTTGTTTGTTTGTTTTTTTTTACATCCGCCGCTAAACGTTGACCGTAATTATGCTGTCACTAACACTACATTAACGTAATTATATTGTCAATGACAGTTAATTACCGTAATTGTACTGCCGTTGACAAAACATTTATGTAATTGTTCTGCCGTTGACAATAAATTAACGTAATATTATTATTTTTTTATTTTTTGTTTTTTTTTATTTTGTTTGATTTGTTGACAAGTCAACGTAATTATATTACTGTTGTTGACAGTAAAGTAACTATAAACACAATAATATTACTGCAAACAACATCAATATTATTATTTTTTTGGGTTTTTTGTTTTGTTTGAGTTATTCACGGAGTAACGCAATAATATTACTGTCTATTATGTAATATTACTTTAAACACAATAATATTACTGTGGTTGACGGTAATATTACTGTTGTTATAGTAATATTGCTGTCAACCACATCAATATTATTAATTTGTTTGGATTTTTTTGTTTGTTTGAGTTATTCACGGAGTAAAGTAATAATATTACTGTCTATTATTGTAATATTACTGTGGTTGACGGTAATATTACTGTTGTTATAGTAATATTACTGTGACTCACAGTAATATTAATTATTTTGACTTTTTATTATGTTTACATTTGTTGAACGGTCAACATAGTAATATTACTCTATTACACAATAATAATGAGATTTGTTGTGTTAATATTATTGTGCTAGAGATTAATATAGGAATATTACTGTGTTAAACTATAGTTTAGTTAATTTTACTGTGTTTAACAGTAATATAGTTAATATTACTGTCAATCAGAGCAATATTGTTGTTTAAACGAAAAAAAAAATACCGAAAGAAAGAAAAGAAAAAAAAATCGAAAAAGTCAACGTCGGAGATCGGCGTTGTCCGCCAGTCAACGCCGGAATCCGGCGGGAAAAAAAATTATTTGAAAAAAAAAAGTTTTGGGTAAAAATTGAATATTATTGTTTTCATTACTTTTTAGTTTGTTTGAATAAATAGTTCATTTAACAAATAGTTGTTTTGGAGATGTTTTAATTAAATAACTAGTTAATCTTACAATGGAAATAATATAATATATAATTAATTTAATAAATTGTGAAACTGATGTATCATTGTTTTAATACCAATTGTTTTAATAATAGTCGTTTTATAATAGTCGTTTTAATAATAGTCGTTTTATTGGCATATAGTTGTTTTAACTGAAAACTAAAATAATATAGAAAAGGAATATTTAAAGAAAAATATTAAAAAAAATTTAAATTTTTTTTTTAAAAAAAAAATATTATTTTTTAAAGAAGAAATAAATAAAAAACGAAAATTAAAATATATAAAATATAAAAATATATCAAACTAGTGGATAATGAGTAGTGAATAGTGAGAGGGTAAATTTGAGAATACAAAAAGAATGGGTTTCTCACTCATAAAGAAAAATGAGTTGGACCCATCCTTATTAAAATAATATTAGAGGGGGTTCTCACTAGTAGTCCCTATTAATAAAGCAGTTTACTTTGATATATAATAGACCAAATATCATATGATATATATCGATATATTCACAATATACAATTAACGACATATTTCTTTCTATTTTAATATTGATTTGATATTGTATTGCTATTTGTACAATTTTTTAAAATGGAGTAATAAATTGTTAATCACTTCAAAAAATTTAGATGTGTTCTTTGTTTTTTTCTTCTTCTAAAAATTAGTCAAAAACTTTCAATAGTTATATCCTGATTTGTATATTTTAATTGTCATTATTGTGTGATACCGGGTGGCTGGTTTAGGGGATAATGTGAGTATAACTTAAAGAGAAAATTGCAAAAAAACTCATGAAAAGAGTTTTTAAATAGAAGAGGGAATTAACCAATATGACCCATAACCGTATTTTGACCCATATTTGACCCTAATTTTTAGTAATGTTATTGTTTTGACCTGCAATATTAATATTGCTATAAAATACAGTAATATTATTGTGCCAATGTTAATATCACTGTCTTGATTTTAAATAATATTAATATTATTGTCTCAAACAGTAATATTCTTATTAACACATAAATATTACTGTTTTAATTATTATTATTATTATTATTATTATTATTATTATTATTATTATTATTATTATTATTATTATTATTATTATTATTATTATTATTATTATTATTATTATTATCATGGCATGTAAAATTATGTCTCACATAGTGATATTAATATTTATATAATTGTATAAATAGTATATTACATCCCAATATTAATTAATCAAATAATATTATGTATTTGTTTTAATTAATATCAGTATTATTGTTAGTAGTATTAGTATTAGTATTAGTATTAGTATTAGTATTAGCTAGTATTATATTAGTATATAGGGGAAATTGGCTAGACACCCCTAATTTTAGACTTATATAGGTGGAGATCCATTCTATTAGATGAATATAGGTATAGGTCCCTTGACAAATAAAATAAAATAAAATAATTATTGTATAGACATAAATAACCTTCAATTAATATTTATATTTAAATAGTTATTTTGGAAATTGAGGGAACAAATCCCACAAATCTCTCTCTTTTTCTAACACACACGTAATATATATTTCTCTCTCTCCACAATCCCAACTCTCCCCCACACCCCACGCTCCTTCCTCTCTTTATCTCTCTCTTATACCTTTCTCTCTTTTAAGAGAGCCATTAGTTATTGTGAATTTTTTTTTTCAATTCTTGTAAAAAAAAATTATTTCCATAAATATCTTATAGCAATCTTCACTAATCAACATTCTTGAAACCATATATTTTTGAATATTAATTGTTTGAAACCATATATTTTTCAATATTAATTTTTATTTCGTATTTTTGGACGGTATTGCATTTTTTTATGTTTGCATTTCCTAACTGTTTTTACTTCAGCAAACCAAATAAAAAATAAAAAATTAACAATCAAAATAAATTTGCAATATATAATAGAAAACTGCAAATTGCAATTTATAACTTAAAATAACATAAACAATAAATAACAACGCAAATAATAAATAGTAAACGGCAAACACAAATAATAAACAGCAAACTTAGTAGACAAAAACAATAAACAACACTGCCCCTAGTGCATTTTTTACTCAAGCAATATGAAATAGTTTCAAAACACGAAATACAAAATAAAAGATGTTATAACAAACACCAAAAAGCTAATTTTTGTATAGAAGCAAATTAGTACGTTAAGTACAAAATACTTCAAGATACAACTTTTCTGACACATTTAATTTGGTGTACTTTGAATTTATGTCGGTTGAAGATGTAAACAAGTGAAACGAGGTTTGAGTGAATATTGTGGGATCCATGGATCTTCTGTAATAACTTGTTCTTTGAGGACTTTGTTTGCAATCTAATTTGCTCTTATTTTTCCTCCTTTGGAAGACGTCAAAGAGTCATTTAATACCTTGCTTCTTTTTTTTTCCTTGACGTAGCTGTTTTAGCACACACAAAATAAAACTAAATAAGACTTTCAATTGCAAACAATAAATTGCAAAAATGAACAAAAAATAGCAAATTAATAACAATAACTGCAATTACAAACAATGAATTCAAAGTGTAAACAAATAAATGCAAACAAGAAAATTTCAAATAGAAAATTACAAATAAGAAATTCAAAGTGTAACAAGCAACTGCAAACAAGAAAATGATGATTCGATTGCAAACAAGTAACAAAGTGCAAACAAATAGCAGACCACATGAACATCCACGAAATAAAGAAAACAAGAACAACAAAATGCATACCACACGAACAACAAAAAAACAAAAACACGATGTTTCAATAATGCACAATAAAATGCAAATTTCAAATAACAACACAAACGACAACAAATAAACATCAACAACTGACTGAAAAAAAAATGAAAAAAAATGTAAAAATATGTTAAACAATCATACAAAATATAAATCGAAACCTTTAAAATGTGTGAATAATTACCTCAGATCGATGCATCAATATCAACATTTTTTTCTCCTGAGATAAAAATACCAGTAATGGGTCGTTAAATCATCATCAAAACATCTAAAAAAATTGGAGAAATAAAAAGGATTTAATTTCCTGGACTTTTACGTTTCCGCACCATGTTGTTTGATATTGAAGTTCTTCAATTTGGCGTTACGAGGATGACGAACAACAAACAAACAAATCTAGGGTTTTTTATTTCAATTAAAAAACGACAAAACATCAAAGGAACCATAAACAAACAGCAAACGAAAACATCAAAGGAACCATAAACGAACAGCAAACGAACACAATTTTTTGTGTTTTCTGCTTTTGCGTTGGAGAATATGAAAGAAATATAAAATCGTATTTTGGGATTTGAAGATTTGCAACGATTTTGTCTCGGGAGAAAAAAGTGGGATTAAAACCTCTATAAGATTGACTAGTATTTGGAGATTTTTATTTTCTATATTTTATTAGGGGTATTTTAGACACTATAAAAATAATAAATATAATAAAATAGGAAATTAGTAGTTGGATTTATACATCTAAAATCTCTAAGAGAAGGACCTATAGCGAATTGCCCCTTATTTTATATAATACTTAATTGCATTTTATATGTTACATCTTTGTAACAAAAGATAAATTATATCTTTTTTTTTTTTTTTTTTTTTTAATTTCATTTTGATTTCATTTTACTTGAATTCGATTTGTACAACGAGATCGTTGAATATATATACTATTGTTTTTTTCATTTTGAAACTCATTCCCGTGCATCGCACGGATGAAGTACTAGTCTTTATTATTAGAGTAAAAAGCAGATTGCCCCCTAAACTATGGGTTCGTTTTGCACTTTGCCCCAAACAAATTTTTTTTGCATGTTTTTACCTGAATAGTAATTGACAAAATTGTCCTTAGGTTAAGGTTTAGGGTTATAGTTCAAAATATTTTTTTTATATATAAGATTAATAATAAAACAAAACCCCTTGCAACAAAGGGCTACGATTACAGAAAAGGACTAGGGTTTGTTTGCGGTGGATTCTCGAGAGACATGGGTTTTGAAAACGACGATTGGCGATATACCGGTCCTTGGGATTCCGAAGAAGATGATGATTCCGATTCCGATTCCGATGAGAAACCGGTAACGACGATCGATGAAATAGAAAGACTACTCAATAATTTGGTACTGGATACGGAGAAGCTGGTAACCGATGAGGATAAAGCCGAAAAGTTCAAGTTTAGGTTCCATAAGATACTTAAACAATTCAATAAATTGAAAGAGGGTGAATCTGGATCCGAATCAGAATCCGAACCCGAATCCGAACCCGAATTGGAACAGGATAAGTATGAAGAATACGAAAGGGAACAGGAAAGGGAACTTGAATTGGTTGAAGAACTCACAATTGATGATTCCAACAATCCCAATCCCTTTAGGGTGAAGCGCCCCATGACTAAGGGTGGCACTCAATTTCCTTGTGTACGTCTCTCTAATCTCTTTTCTTCATTTCTTCCTCTCTCTATATATATATATTATTCTTCAAAATTCAAATTTATTTATTTACCCTCTCTCAATATAATATAATATAATATACTATAATATACTTACAGGGAGGTTTCTATGTCATGTATGAGCCAGAGTTAACAGGCAATAATCCCAGAGCTGTGGAAAAGGCCCTAAACTCTGCCAATCTTGCAATTGATTTTTTCAACAACCAAAACGTATGTTTTTTTTTATTATTAAATTTGTTTTTGGTTTAATGATTATTAATTGTTTTTTTGTGTTTTTTCGATTTTTGGATGTATGTAGAACACTAAATACAGCCTAGTGGATGTGGTGGGAGCAATCGCGAGTCATTGCGCGGGTGAGGTAGTCGAATTGGGATTTACCGCCATCCAGCCTGGTGACGTAGATGCCGCAGATTTCAAAGCACAGATTTACTATGGAATCGGCAAAACTCAAGTACAATATGTTCGTATTATCGGTAAATTTTCTTCTTCTTCTTTTTTCTTTTTTTTTTTTTTTTTTTTTTTATGGTTTTTTTTTTTTTTTTTTTTTATGGGTGATGTATACAGACGTACTGTAATTATGTAATAATTGAAATAAATTGCAAATTGATATTAAATATAAATAATTTTGACGTTAATTTAGAAATTCTAAATTTAAGTAGACTAGTAATTAATCTCCTTCTTTCCACATATGATTTGACCAATTGGAACTTCTTGATTTGAATATTTGAAGAATTGAACAGAAACTCAGAAAGAAATAAAAATTCAAAAATGATATTTAAGTTAGTGCATATCCTCATTTTATTTTATTGACTTCTTTCAAAAGAGCTAATGTCCAGTGAATCAGAAACAATTAATATTAATTAAGAATGATTTCACGTTTTTGGAGAATTGTCTATTGAGTTGTTGGTATTCTCAACTACAAGGTAGGTGTAGTTGCTATATGTTGGACATGTAGTAAATTGGAAGCTGTCAGTTTGCGTTCTTTATTTACTTAGATTGATTGACCTTATGATCCCTAAACTTCACTAACAATTTGGACTGATCTCGAATGCTACTGACCTTAATTTCTTCATGTCCCAAAAATGTCCCCTTCTTAAAATTGTAATTTATCTCAAATTGGATTCTTATTATTTTTTTTTAAATTATTTTATCATAAATATAAGTTGTATTTTATCTTTTATAAAATTTATTCAATTCTGTGGACATACTATATATTCGATTATTGGAATGTAGTGTATGAAGTACATGATGTCCTTTGTGTTTCTGTTAACAAAATATATGTTCCAGAAGCGTTTTCAGCACCTGTGTTTTTCTTCCATTTGCAGGTGATTCAATGAAAGCTAATATGGTTATGTAATGTTTAAGTTGTGTTTGTTTTAATGTAAATTGATTTTAAACAACATTTATATTTGCTTTGTGGGTCTTGAATCTATTTATATTTTGTAAAATATTTCATGCTCGATGGAGCGATGCTAAACTTACTTATGTTTGCGGTTTCCTTGCTAATACATAATAGTTGGTACATGTTTCATATCTATTTTCATATATTTTGTGGTTTCGAGTTACACCATTGGTTCCGTACATATGACAAGTTTTATAACCCTATGAATGAGTTTTTACTGATCGTGATCTCAACACACCGAAAGCATAAACATGTTTGCAATGTTATTCTTGCCATGCCATAGGATCAGGCTGTGTTTGTTACGCTGGATTGAGCTTCGAATGACCTTTGATTACTTAATTAGTTAACATTATTACACATTAGTTCTGTGTTTCTCATTTCTTCCATATCCAACCCATCATCCGGTTCAAATTTCGTCTCTCCCCTACTTTCTCAATTTGTAACAGGACTTGAATTTAATGTGTGTGTGTGTGTGTGTGTGTGTGTGTGTGTGTGTGTGTGTGTTGTGTGTCTATATATGAGACTTTTGGCATCCAAATTATGGACATTTGGCATTTAAGATTATGACAATCATCTATTTAGAATACTGGAACATTTAATGGAGGCGGAAGTATTCATTTTTTTGCCCAAAAAAATTAGACTTTAATGTTTTTGCCCCAAAAGGTAATCCGATGGAATGATCGTCTCATCTCCACCTCGTCTTTCAAAACCTTTTCCCTGATGAAATGATATTGCTTTTCAACATGTTTAGTTCTTGCGTGAAAGACTGGATTTTCTGCCAAACGTATTGCTGATTGATTGTCGCAATACAAAGGAATTGCATATTCTGTTATTTGATGCAAGTCCTTTAACAATTGCACAAGCCAAGTGCTCTCTTGAGCTGCCATAGCTGCAACTATGTACTCCGCTTCCGTAGTTGATAAAGACATAGTTGGTTGTCTTTTACTGCACCAAGAAATTGCTCCGGACCCAAGCATAAAAACGTATCATGTAGTTGAGCGCCGAGTATCTAGGTCACCACCAAAATCATCATCACAATAGCCAACTAGCTTACCATCTACCATTTTCTGATACATAATTCCATAATCAAGCGTCTTTTTCACATATCTTAAAATTCGCCTGATCGCTTCCAAATGAGGCTTCTTTGGATTTTGCATGTATCGACTCATCACACCGACTGCATAAGAAATATCGGGTCTCGTTATAGTTAAGTAGATCAAACTACCTACTAATTGCCGGTACATAATTGAATCTTCTAAATCCTTTCCTTCACGAGCACATATTTTTGCATTTGGCTCCATCGGCGATGAAATCGGCTTGCAATTAAGCATTCCAGATTTCTTAAACAGATCGTTGGAATACTTTTGCTGATGAAGAAATATTCCTTCTTTACTATGTTGAATCTCAAGGCCAAGAAAATGCTTGAATTTTCCAAGTTCTTTCATTTGAAAGCGAACTGATGAATTCTCCTTTGTTCGACGAATTTCTTCTTCAGAGTCACCTGTTATGAGTAGATCGTCTACATACACTAGAACAATTGCCAACTTCTGTCTATTAATTTTGATAAACACACTAGAATCAGCAGGTGCAACATAGAAACCACTAAGAGTAAGAAATTCAGCGATCTTACCGTACCAAGCCCTCGGTGCTTGCTTTAATCCCTAGAGTGCCTTTTGAAGCTTGCACACAACTTCAGGGTGAGTTTGACTATGGAAACCCATTGGTTGATTCATGAAAATCACTCGATCTAACTCCCCGTGAAGAAATGCATTTTTTACATGCATTTGCCACTAGTTCCAACCTTTAGTGGCTGCAAGGGCAAGTGACACTCTCACGGTTGTGATCTTTGCAACTGGACTAAATGTTTCGTCATAGTCCAATCTATATTCTCGAGAAAACCCTCGAGCAACCAGGCGAGCTTTGTGTCTCTCAATTGATCCATCGGTGCGACGCTTTATTTTATAAACCCATTTACAAGAAATAGGATTTACGTCTCTTGGCTTCGGCACGAGTTCTCAAGTTTGATTTTTTTTTCCAACGCCTCAATTTCCTCTTTGATGGCTGTATTCCAATCCATGTTTTGATATGCTTCCTCAAATGTCTTTGGTTCTTTTGCATCAATATCTTCTACTATAACAACATTTGCCTATTTAGGATTTGATTTTCTCGCTCTTGCAGATCTTCCTAAGTTCAGTAGGTGCGCTTCCTCTTAAACAATTTCGCCTTGTTCACTTGATTGTGGATATACACCAGTTTGCCATGGATTTTGAGTTGTACCTTCTTCATTACCGTCACATGTTTCTTGATCAGCTTCATCTAAACTCAATTTGATTTGAGATGAAACTAAATCATTTGAGTCAAGCAATAATGCTTCTTTGTCTAAGGACCACCACGAAGAGGCTTAATCAGACACCATATTTCGAGAGGTGTAACACTTTCCAGTGTTTGGATCACAACATCTCCACCCTTTTCTTTGGCTGTCATAGCCAACAAAAATGCACGGAACTGCCTTTTTGTCCATTTTGCTACGTAAATGATTAGGCACAAATACATAACACACACATCCAAAAACTTTAAAGTAATCAACAGTAGGCTTAATATTCCAATTTTTTTCAAAAGGTGAAAGGAAATTTAACCTTTGTTGAGGAAGTCTATTAATCACAAAGGTTGTTTTCCTCATAGCTTCTCCCCAAAATCTTCCAGGAACATTGTTTGCATGTAGCATACTTCGACAAATTTCAACCAGGTGTCATTTTTTTCTTTCCGCTACGCCGTTTTTGCGTGGAGTATTGGCGCATGTGAATTGATGATGGAATTTGACATTTCGTCAGGAATTTGGAAAATTGATGAGAGAAATATTCCTCTCCATTGTACGTGCGTAAACATTCAATTTTCTTACGAACTTCCGATTCCGCCGTTTTCTTAAATTCATGGAATTGTGAAGATGTTTCAGATTATTCTTTCATGAAGTAGACCCATACATACCTCGAAAAATCATCAATGAAAGTCACCATGTACTTCACTCCACCAACAGATATTTGCTTTATTGGTCCAAAAACATGAGAGTGAATCAACTGTAAGGGTTCATTTGCTTTGAATTTGGACTCTTCATCTGGCAGTTGATGTGATCTCCCATATTGACACGCCGCACAAATCGTATTTGTTATCACTTCAAGTCGGGGAAGGCCATTCAACATCGACTTTTTCACCATCACATTTAGCTTGGAATAACTAATGTGACTTAACCGCATGTGCCATAAATCCGCCGTCTCGTTTTTCCTCGTCTTGTCAACATATGCTGTTTCAGCACTCATCACATAGACGAACTCTAGCTTCTTTCCTTCATCACCGGCTCTTCCACAATCTCTAAGTGATGGTATACCCTTACATCCTCTGGGCCAAATAATACATATTTGCCTGATTTCGTTATTTGTGCTACTGATAGAAGGTTTTTCTTCATACATGGGACGTGATAGACATTTTGAAGCGATACATCATTATCAATGTATTGAGGAGAGACCAACATATCACCGATGTGAGCTATTGGTGATTTTGAGTTGTCGGCTGTCACCACCACGTTGTATTCTGACACATTTTGCAGCTTCTCCTTGTCACCCTTCATATGGTTTGAGCAGCCTGAATCAATAATCCAATCACTCTCATAGTCAATTTGATTGGATATTGTTGTTGCTAGAGCTAGCTCATGATCCTCTACAGCGAAAAATGCCTCAACGTCCCATTCTTCTTCGATTTTGGAAGTAGCAGCGTTACTCTCTACAAGACCTTGTTGTGATCGACAAAATTTTGCCACGTGGCCCTTCTTTCCCAAATTGTAGCAATCTCCTTCAAATATCCTGCCATTGTTCTTTGACCCTACCCCTGGACGAACACTTCCTTCACCTTGACGACTTTTTTCTCGACCGTCATTTCTTTTAGATCCACCAAACCCACGTTGTTTGGGTTTCCAACTACCTTTATTGGCATAGAGCGCTTCCTCTTCACCCTTTAGAGAAACTCCTCCCATTTGCTTAGCCAGAGCTTCTTGACCAACTAGCAAATTCTCAAATTCTACAAGTGATGGCTGATTTTGCCATCCTTGTACAACAGCAATAAAGCCTCTATATTCAGGCCTCAAACCATGGATGATTATTCTGTTTTGCCTATGTGCATACACCTTCACTTCTTTTCTCACCAGTTTTCTGAATGATTTAATAGGCATAGAGGGGTCTTCAATAAAATGTTCCAAGTACTGCTCTGCAAGGTAAGTGGAGTTGGCACTCTTATTCCTAAATGCTCTAGGACACCTATGAGTGTTCACCTTTAATTTCTTCACCTGAAATGCTGTGGACTTACCCTGAAAGCTAACATGTATCCTCCACCCACATTTATTCTTACAATATGCAGTCACCCTTTTTCTCTCATTTTTTTTCAAATTTCAGTTCAAATCCTCTCACAATTGAAAACTGCCTCAAAGCTTTCCTAAATATAGAAGAATTGGCAAACACAAGGCCCACTGCAAGTTCTGGATTTTTCATCAAACTCGGGAAATTTTAGGCCTGTATTCTCACAATCTGAGTCACTAGGTTCTGTAAGGATTTCTGGATTACTTTGAATATCTTTTTCTCCCGTAACAAATGCTTTTTCAACTTCAGCATATGATACTCGATGTGAAATATTTGTTTCAGCATCATGGTCTCCTATAGGATCACAACTATCACTCAATGTGTCACCCTCAGCAAAGAACTCAAAGTCAGACAAACCATCTTCACTTTCACTATCAGTACTTGCATCATAATCAGGATCAGTTTCACTCTCAAGCTCATCTCTCTCTGAGTTATCCGCCTCTGTGATTTCTGGATCAATTTCTACGGTGTCAAGAAATAAATCAATCTCATGCACACATGCAGAAGCATACAATCTAAACATTTCTATCACAACAATATCACTATCAAGCAGCTTCAATTCAACTTCAGCAGGCATTATAAACCAAACAACAGTAGTGGCACAGTATCCCATTTCTTTAACTAAGTCAATTATCTCGAAATATGACATCAAATTTTGGTCAACATCTTTAACAATGTGTACCTTGGCTCTGATATACCTACCCCCTTCACCACCAAAACTCCCCCCGTAGTTAATCCTAAGTGTATACATCTGATCACCCAACATGTTTTCATAAACAAAAGAAAAAATAATCAATTAATCAAATGCACATAAGATGCAAAAAAAAAAAACCCCAAAATTAAATCGTGCATTAATTTAGTGAAAACCCCAATTTAACATCGAAATGGACAAAATAAACACCATAAACACAAGAAATTTGTTTCTAAAACAAACCCGTGACATAACTACGAAAAAAAAAGAGGTGGAATTGATCAAGTCGCGATTTGCATTTGAAAGCCCTAAAACAACACTAACCTTTGTCTCTCTTTAGATTTCTTGATTTTTTCCCTCCAAATTTCTTCAGACGTCTTTAGACATCAACGCTTTCAGATGATTCAAACCATGGAAGAATTTCAGCAAAGAAATCAGATTTTGGGAAAATTTCGATCTTACGTTCTTAGAGTGAAGGAGAAACGTTTTTTTTTTTGTCTAAGTGAGAGGAGAGAAGTTTGCACACAATATAGACCATGTTAGAGTCACAAGGTACATAAGTAATTACACTCTTAAATTATCGGTGTTAATTTTCTAAAGTTTGACCAAAAAACGGAGGGGCCATTTTGTTACGTTTTGTAGTTCAGGGGGTGTTTGCGACAGACCCCATAGTTCAGGGGTGCAAACTGTAGTTTTCCCTTAATTTAATAGGGGGTGAGTAAAAAAGAAAAATACAATTTTATCCTTAAAATTATATTTTGTTATTGTAAACTAAGTAGTTTTATAGACAATTTATATATAATATCGCGATTTTCTGCCTCTTTTTTTTTCACCCCACCGGCGCCGCCTCTTTCTTCTCCCCCACCGGCGCCGCCTCTTTCTTCTATCCCCACCGGCGCCGCTCCAGCCTCTGTGCACCCGGCGCCGCCCCTGCCCCCATTGGGCGCCGCCTCAGCCCCATCCCTATTTCTCTCTCTTCACCGTAAACAATGGATATCTAAGCGGTGGTAGAAAAAAAGGTAACTTTTTTTTCGTTTCAATCATCTTTCAATGGTTTTAGGATTTGTGAGGAGCAGTCCCTATTTAATAACGATATTGTGGGAAAAAACTATTAATTCTTATAAATTAATATTTTTGAACAAGATGATTATTATATTAATATTTTATGTACATTTTTCTGAAAATTTTGGGACGAACAAGATGATTTTATATATATATATATATATATATTATTTTTTTATAAAAAAACTAATATATATAATCATCTTCCGCATTGCTTCATGGATAATTTTTTTTAATACAATTTTGGCATCGGGACTATATAGTCATGGATATATCCATGACTAGCTCCATAAAGTAGTCATATTAGTGCTATTTTTTATAAATATGTTGAAACGGAAAACGAATGAGGAAACAACAATTATAATTAAAAAAAACGATAGTGGTGATAAATTACATATTAGTAGGTTAGAAAAATTTTGTTTATGAAAGCTTCCCGAATTTGGTACTCACCAACGATGGTGTGACAACAAACTTTGCTTTTGGAAATTGGTTTTCATTTCCTAATTAAGTTTTTTTCTTGTTAATATTGATACAGTGACCCTCGTCGGCCGTGTTGGTGGTGGTGTACTGATTTTGCACTTTTTCCTGGATATAGTAGGAGTTTACGTTCCAAATAGTTGATTTTCGAATAGTGAATTTATGTTCTATTTTTTAGTTGTATTAGTAGTGGATTACGTGTGTTTTAGTAGATTTGGATAAGTTTGTTGTTGATTATGTTATTAATAAAGTGGATTACGTTAATTTTTCGTAATTGTTCTTGCACTTTTTTCCTGGACATAGTAGTGGTTTACGTTTCAAATAGTAGATTTTCGAATAGTGGATTTACGAACAATGAATTTACGTTTTTTTTTTGGAGTTGTGTTAGTAGTGAATCACGTATTTTTGTAGTGAATTTCGATAAGTTTACATAGTGGTTTTGGTTAATTGATAAGTTTATAGTGAATTTTTCGTAATGAAATTCGTTAATGACATAGTCGCTTTTGTTAATTACAGAGTGGTTTTCATTAATTACAGAGTGATTTTTGAAAATTGATAAGTTTATAGTGGATTTTGTAATGAAATTTGTTAATTACATAGTGATTTTCGTTTATTACAGAGTGGGTTTTATAAATTACAGAGTGGTTTTCATTAACTATAGAGTGGTTTTTGTTAATTACATAATGATTTCCGATAAGTTTATAGTGAATTTTCTTAACGAAATAATATAATTCCATAGTGGTTTTTGGTAAGTTTATATTTAGATTTTAAATTTTAATTTTTTTTAAATTTAACGTTAAAAAAACAAAAGTATAAAAAATAAAAAAATTGAAATTAAAAAAACGAAAAAATAAACTTTTAAAAAAATAAAATTACATTGTTCTTAAGAAAAAATCGAAAATAAAAAAGAAGTAAAAACGAGATTTTTCGAGTTGATTTGGGAGCGTTATTTGGGGCATAAATCTTGGAGCGTGATTTGTGGCCATAATTTTGTAGGAAATTTGGGTGTAGATTTGGAGCAGGAGTTGAATTTATCAACATAGTTATTTTTTTAATTTTTTGAAATAGTTAATTGGGGCATATAGGGTATTTTGTATTGATTGGACTTATGGCAAATATAACCTATTAAAGTTGGATTTATTAAGAAGTCAAAATGCTATGAAGGGTGTTTATCAAATAGCCCCTTTTATTTATTCTAATTATCCAGTAACATCAAAGAAGTATGTTATTACGAATTGAGAGGACAATGGTTCATGTTGGCAGTGGTAGATATGATTTTTTTTTTCTTTTTTTCTTTTTTTTTTTTTTATTTATAAGAAAACTAGTACTTCATCGTAAAAATAAATATTTAATTTAAAATAAAGTCCTCGAAAGAGTAAGATCAATTATCTGCAATATAAAGTCGTAGAAAAGTAAAAGAAAATAAAAAACATATTTCGTATTGTGTAAGTAATGAATACCAGTACCAATACCAGTACCAGTACTATTACTATTACCATTACCATTATCTTCACCAATATCAATACCATTAGTATTACCATGACCACTATTGCAGTTACTGTCACCAATACCAATACAATTACCAATACCTATACCTATAGCAATACCAATCATTACTATTATTACCATTACCATTACTAATGTTAATACTAATACTAATATGATAATAATATTATTACTATTAGTGTTAGTAATCCTAATGCTATTGCTAATCCTAATCCTGGTATTAACTCTAATCTTAATTATAATACTGATCTCAATCATAGTTCTAATCCAAATTGTAATCCTAATGGTAATGCTAATCTTAATCTTAATACTAATTCTAATCGTAATCTTCATCTTAATAATAATACGAATCATAATTCTAATCCTTATAGAAATGCAAATATGCTAATGCTAACGATAATCATAATACCAATCCTTATATGTTTATGATAATGCAAATTCTAATTATAATTCTAATTCTAATCATAATGCTAATCCTAATACTAATATTTATACTAATATTAATTCTAATATGCTAATGCTAATCCTAATACTAATATTTATACTAATATTAATTCTAATATGCTAATGTGGATTATAATCTTAATCATAATCATAATGCTAAGTAACACTAATACTAATAGTTATATGCTAATGCTAATACTAATGCTAATGCTAATCCTAATATACTAATGCTATTACTAATGCTATTACTAATACTATTACCAATATTAATTCGGTAATGCTAATATTAATATATAAATGCTAATACTAATACTAATACTAATATACTATATAATATACTAATACTAATATGCTAATATACTAATACTAATATACTATTACTAATGCTAATACTAATATACTAATGCCAATACTAATATACCACCAATACCAATATCAATGTCAATATCAATACCAATATCAATACCAATATCAATATCAGTACAATTATCAATACCAATAACAATACCAATACCAATATCTATAAAATTACCAATTCCAATACCATTACCAATACAAATACCAATATCACTACAAATACTAATATCAATACCAATACATATACCAATATATACCAATACCATTATCAATACCATTACCGTTACCATTACCATTACTATTACCATTACCTGTACCATTACTATGACCATGATCATTACCATTACCATGACAATTATCGTTATCATTACCATAACCATCACCAATACCAATATCATTACCATTACCATTACCAATATTAACCTCAATACCAAGATTGATACCAATATCAATCATTACCATTACTATTACATTTACCTTTACCATTATCATTACCATTACCATTACTGATACTCATAGTAATAAACTAATATTAAGACTAATCTAATAATAATACTATAACTATTGAGTTACAACATTTGTGCATATTATGGAGTCACTAATGATATTATTTGTTTAGGATTTGCCGAATTGATTGTTGTTACTTCTATGGAAGATTATTGCTCATATGTATTTAATCACTTACCTATCGAATCATACTTACTTTCTCGTTATTTAAGATGGCATCCATTTATGTTATTGTTAATATAGTTTTCATAATTGCTCATTGTTAACTCTTTACTTTTGTAATCAATATTCATGTGGAATTAATAGCATCATGGTGGTTTGGTTAAGGGAGAGTGAGCTGAATATATAGGGTGGTTGAGGTAGATGGACCTGAGTGATGTTAACATGCTTGCGAGAAAAGTGAAAACTAAGGCTTTCTTTGGTGGACGGTGGGAGATTGGAGAGAAACGGTTGCAATGCTAAGTGAATAGTTAATTTATAGAAGAAGGAATTATAGAACTTTTGATTTAAATAATGCCTAATTTGTTTTAAGAGTTGCGTTGATGTCATTCTCTATAGGGAATTCTTTAGCTCTTTATATCTCACTTTAGGGATGCTGACACGTGTGTTGCATTTGTTCATATGTACTCAGGTTCACCAAGCATGACTAAGGTGACAAAATTGATGTTCTTGTGAAGGTAAGAGAAATTAAGTGTCAGCTTCTCGTCTTCGCATGGTTACTTGTTTAATTGTCTTATCATTGTAGGTGACTGATATCGGGAGCTTCCAAGCTTTTGTTTTGCCGTGTACGTGGAAAAAATAGAAAAGGGGGTTATGGTTTGAATGATCCTCGAAGGTCGCTACTTCGGATAGGTAGACTACCATCCACTCACAAGGCGACGAAGAAATTTTCCGTATTCGGACCCCATCTTGCGGCGTTATTTACATTTAAGATATTTTATTTTTTTCTTTAATTTAATTTTGTGGTGGACATTATAGTAGTCCACTTGTGTGCTACAAATATAAATTTTCTGTAATATGGCAGATTATATTACGTAAATTTTCTACAAGTATTTCGTGAAGTTTCTGTTAGTTTGGAGCTAAAATGTCTAATACGGCTTCCAAAAATTTCTGTTATTTTGGAGCTATTGCACAATTTTATTAGCTTCATATTTTATAGAAAATAGAATATATAGATAATAACATCTAATTGTTATATTAATGTTCATTTTTCCTATAATAAACACAAATTATAAATTACAATTCAGTAGGAAAAAGCAAGAATGAAGTCACCCCATAACATAAACAACTACAAACGTTTATTTTGGAAGTAAAGCAAATTCATCATAGCTCGGGTGTGTTACATAATAATAAAAAGGGCTTGCAAGGGGTGAAAATGTAAATATCCTAAAATGTTAGGGCTGATTTTATAATTACAGAAAAATGGGAGGAAAGAATGGGTGGTGCAACCAATATTTACAAATTGACAGTGCAAGGGGTGGTAATATAATTATCCGAAAATGTTAGGGCTGATTTTATAATTAAAGGAAAATGGGAGGAGAGAATGGGTGGTGCAAGCAATATTTTAAAAATTGACATGTGTCTAATATAATAATAAAAGGGTTTGCTAGGGGTGGTAATGTAATTATCCAAAAATGTTAGGGATGTTTATAATTAAAGGAAAATGGTAGGTAAGAATGGGTGCAACAAGCAATATTTTAAAAATTGACAAGTGTATAATATAATAATAAAAAGGGCATGCAATGGGTGGAAATGTAATTATCCGAAAATGTTAGGGTTGCTTTTATAAAAAATGGGAGGAATGAATGGATGCAACAAGCAATATTTTAAAATTGACAGGTGTATCATATAGGGTAAATTACACCCACACCCCTGAGGTATGCTTAAATAACTTTAAAGTCCCTGTGGTATCGACAGACTTTTTATTACCATTGTAGGGGTACTCTTTTACCTTGTGTAGGCCCACAAGGTTTTTAACGAGGCCCCAAGTCTTTCGATAATAATGGAATAATAAAGTTTTTTTTCGGCCAAAAAAAAAAAAAAATTACAGTCATCCCCTGAAACGTAGTTAGAAACTCTAACGGGATAATGCATTGGATACATTATTCCGATAGAGTTCTAATGGACTATTACTTTTAGCTAGTAGTGGAGATAACATAGAGTTATGGGGAGTTATGCGATGACATGGGTTCCCCAATATTTCTTAAATCACCCATAACTCTTTGTTGTCTCTAGCACTTCCAGAAACCAATAGTCCGTTAGAACTCTGTCGTAATAACGTATCCAATGCATTATCCCATTAGAGTTTATAACTACGTTTCAAGGGGGTGAGTGTAATTATCAATACCACAAGGACCTTAAAGTTATTTAAGCATACCTCAGGGGTGTGGGTGTAATTTACCCTATAATATAATAATAAAAAGGGCTTATCAGGAGTGGAAATGTAATTATCCGAAAATGTCAGGGCTGATTTTATAATTACAGGAAAATAGGAGGAAAAAATGGGCGCAAACAATATTTTAAAAATTGACAAGTGTATAATATAATAAGTACACTTGTGTGATTGATCTTCGTGTGGCTTTATATTTTATCAAGAAAATGTTGTCTGAACCTCATTCCGCTATATACGGAACCCTTTAGGCACATACAAGATACATAAGAATTTGGCAATTTGCTGCGACAAAATTGCTAAATCGGGATCCGCCTACGTGCAGCTAGCTAATGTCTATGCGGCCAAGAAGAAAATAGGAAAGTGTATCGAGAATTAGAAGATCAATGAAGGAAATTAAATCGATCAAAACACCAGATAAAGAGTGTGACTCATGAGTTCGGATCAGGTTATAGGCTTCACTCTGAACTGGAGTGCATACATGAAAAACTAAATGAGCTTGAGAAAAAAATGAAGCTGGCTGGTTATGTGCCTGATCTTGAATCTAGAAAGAGCAGTTCCTCGTTGGTCACAGTGAGAGATACTGGCAATAGCATTTGGGTGTTTGTTTGTGAGGCCACAAAATTCATATCATAAATCAAAGGAAGGGAGATCTTTGTCAACTATTCGACAAGATTTCACCATTTCAAGTATGGGCAATGCTCTTGCGGTGATTACTAGTAGTAAGTAACCACATGTTAACTTTAAATAAAGCAGCCCAACGAAAGTCTATTTAAGACATGATTAGAGTGTGGTTGAGGCGAGTTACGATAGTGTTGAGACACAAAATATGTATTCTCCGTCTCAACATTCCAAGTACTTTTTTAGCATATACAAGTTATTTGCAACTCGTATATTTTACCTCAACATGCATCAGTATCAAGTGGAATAGTTGATCTTAGAGAAAAATGTAAATAAAATAAAAGAACTAGGGAAAACAAGATTTCCCCAAGTTGAGCTGGTTTCAATTAGTTTTCTCATAACAAACCCTAGTGATATTGTCTTGCCTCATACTAACAATACATTTTTCAACAAGGTAAAAAAACAAATTACTAATTAAAATTATCCTTGGAAAGGCATGAAAATATGAAAAATATAGTTTGATTAGTAGATCCTAAGGAATGATGGCAAATGAGATGAAGAGCAGATCATGTTAAGCAACATAAACAATTTCGGACCGTGGATGCTTAGATCTCCATATCCACAACCTGAACCTGCAATCGACACACAAAATTATAGATGATCAATAGATTTTCAGAGTTAAAAACAAATAAAAAATCTAAATTGAATACCTCAGAAGTATCGGGCGTAACAATCACATCCTTACAGGCACTATTTGGTTTTACCAATGAACATAATACTCGGCCGAAACCCTTTTCACCCCAACCCGGGCCATATGAATTCATGATCTCGTAGTACGATTCATTGTTGTATACCCCCTTGCCTAGGATTAATATTACATGCCCCTCCTCTTGACTATCACAATCCATGTCAGATTCCCCACGAAAAATTCCCTAATAAAACCAAACAATTTTATTTAAGAAAAAGAGAGATAAAATAGTTGCTATTATTAAATTAATTTATTTACCCCTCCGCGATGCTCTTTAAAGCTCAAGGTGGCTTTAATCGTGCCGGCAATTGGATGAGTCCTCAATTCCTTTAGCACGTCTTCGTCGGACAATTTCCTCAGATCAATCACAGATTTGACCGACATCTTCGTAAATTGCTTTTTAAACAATAACCCAACAAAAATTATACAGAAATTAGTTTTTTCGGACTTCGAAAAATAAATATTACAAACTTCACAAGTAACTACCTCAAAATATGCATAAACAATATGTATATTATTTTTTCCTAAAATGATAAAATAAAATAATAACATTCATTGTGTTTTATCATTATTTATTCAAATTTTGACGCGTGAACACTTACATCGGGTATTATGGTATCACTTTGTAAGTGTGCAGCAAATGGATAATTTCCCGCCAGATTTACTCCTTGCATTCTAATGAAATTGAGGGCAGCAACTGGATCACCACGTCGACACCCGCACGAATCTTGTTGAAATTCCGGGCTAGTATGTCCGGGCAGATTTTGCCCACTGCCAAGATACTAGAGCAGCGGCCACAACAGCCCAACAACACGCTTGATGAAAATAAAAACCAAAATTAATTTATACCCTAAAACTAAGAAAAAAATTCAAAACTTAAAAAAAAAACATTGAACTTACAACAATCTTTTTGGTCGCATAGAAGCCATTTCATCAACTTCGCAAATAGTGGATGCTCCGTCCACGTACACAATGGTCGTGGAAATAACGGTTCTGTCCTGGAAATTTAAAAATACATGTCAAGAGAGATGCAGATCTTTGTTTAGCATAAAGCAAATAAAATTAAAACTTAAAACATAAATTTTAGAACTTACACTTAATAGTAAATTTTGAAAGAAAAAAAAAACATATAAGTATAAATAGTAAAAAGGTAACAGTCATTTCCCAACGATAAATAGTAAACAAATTAATTTCCTAGACTACTTAAATATCATTAAGTCATCACTTTTTAGCCATTAATAAAAATATAAGAAGCATCAACGAACATCAAGTAAATCAACAAGAAATGGTAAAGCAAAATTCAATCCGGTTCGTAAGGCGACACTGATTTTGCAATTTTGCCGGTTTCTACCTTGGATTGGATCGGATCCGTCACCGCTTTGTGGCTCAATGGGTCAAACTGGCCATTTTAGTTTTCAAAACATTGAAAATAAGATCAGATTATGAATTTATTATGGGCATGGCATTTGTTCAACCTTTTTCAATCTAAAGATTCTTTAGTATTCTCAATCACCATTCCAATTTGAGGGCTTCAGAGAAAAAAAGAAAAAGAAAAAACTACACAAAAGTAGTGTCTAGACTCTAGACAAAATAATTTTCTAAATCGAGAAAATAAGATATTCTGGGAATGTATGCATAAATAAGGAGTGGCAGATGGACCAACCTGGGTAGACATGGAAATACATAAGCTCTATCAACTGGAGCACCAACAGCACCAAAAGGACCCAAAGTAGCTGCTGCTGGTATAGGTGCAAAAGCAGGTTCGTCTCTCTTCTCCTCTTCCTTGGAGGCAGAAGCAGGAGCAGTACCCAAATCCGCAACTACAGAAGGATCAGCAGCAGACATGCTAAGACCCTAGATAGCAAATATCACATCAAAATATAAACATCGAACATGATATAATTTTTTTCCAAAAAAAAAAAAAAAAAAAAAAAAAACGGTACAGCACTTGATGAAGAATTTGAATTCATACCGCAAGATATTCCTTTACTTTATCAGCTAGTGGGAAGGAATAACCGGTTTCAACTGCGGCAGCCAAAACATTCTTGTACCCGTTAATGAACATATGCAGTGCAGCTGCGAGGGTAGGGTAAGAGATGGCTAGTGACAATGAATTAACCATTGAAACACCCATAGCGAACTTGGCAACGAGGTCATCTACGGGCAAATGAAGCACCTCAGGACTGTAAACGGACCCGTTGTCATAAACGGAGAGGACTACAAGACCGTAAGAGAATGGCCTAATTCCAAGTTTTGAAAGAAGTGCAGCTTCAGAGGAACCCACTTTGTTACCCTTTTTGATAAGCTCCACAGGGGTGATAATTTCAACTGTACCCTTGTTAATCTTGGTTGGGATGTTGAGAACCTGCAAGAATAAAACACGGATGGAGTAGTATCATCATGCAAGCTATTATTAAAGAAAAAGAAAAAACGAAACTCAAATATATACGTACGTACCTGGAAGAAAGATGTTTGTGAGGGATCAAGACCAGTATTCCCACGGGGGACAATGACATCAATTGGAGCCACCAAACCAACACGTGCAGGTGCTCCAACCTGTTTTTGAAAATAAAAAAATATGTTATACACCAATACAATATCAAAAGGAGATATATGAAGTAGAAAGGAATACAGAAGAGCCCGAACATAAACATTCCAATTTTTCTGAATTCTTGGAATTATATTTCCACGACCACTAATTTAAGAATACGAAACACGCAGTCTATCCAAAACAAACCTAAACATTATAACAATTAACTTAGGTACGATAAAGATTGTCCCTAGCATATGGTTTGTACGCAACATACCAACATCATAGTGCAACCGTTCTTGATTCAAGGAAGATAATTATAAAGAGTTAGTCTAGATTTCACACAATTGTAACCAGGAATTAAAAAACTATAGACTGCCCTTCCAAAAAACCAGAGATTCATGAAATATTCAACTGCAGAAGATAAACACTGGGACATAATAATGGTTTGTATGGAACTTCAAATATATAAAACTCACAACACTTATCAAATACAGTTACTGAACAACTGAGTCAGCAATACAATATATTGAAATGCAAAAAATGTGTCGGAATAACCATTATGCTCTAACTTCCTTAATATTACACATTGACCCCGGATTTAAACAAATATATCACATTAACCCCCAAAACTTTTTTTTTGCAGAAAATAATTTTTTTTCTGAAATATTTTTTTTCCGGCCAGATTCCGGCGTTGACTTTTTTTTTTTTTATAATTTTGTTTTTTCTTAAAAGAAATATTTTAATTAATTTTACTGTCTTGACTGCTAAATTACTGTCTCCGGCAGCTATTTAACTGTCGGAGACAGTAATTTAACTGTTAATTGATTTTTTTATTTTTTTTCTTCAATTTTTTTTAATTAATATTACTGTATTCGTTGCTAAATTACTGTCTCCAACAGTTATTTAACTGTCGGAGACAGTAATTTAACTGTTAATTGACTTTTTTATTCTTAAACAATATATTTTTAATTAATATTACTGTATTTGTTGCTAAATTACTGTCTCCGGCAGTTATTTAACTGTTGGAGACAGTGATTTAACTGTTAATTGACTTTTTTATTCTTAAAAAAAATATTTTTAATTAATATTACTGTATTCGTTTGCTAAATTACTGTCTCCAACAGTTATTTAACTGTCAGAGACAGTAATTTAACTGTTAATTGGCTTTTTTTCATTTTGTTTCTTAAAAAAAAATATTTTAATTAATAGTACTGCCTTAAATGCTAAATTACTGTCTTCAACACTAATTTAACTATCTTAGACAATAATATTAATAATATTACTGTTCGGAAAAAAAATAATATTCATAATATTACTGTTCGGAAAAAATAATATTCATAATATTACTGTACCAAACAGTAATATTACTGTCTGAGACAGTAATTTAGTAGCTAAAACAGTAATATTAATTAAAACATTTTTTTTCTAAGAAAAACAATTCAAAAAAAAAAAAAAAAAAAGGTCAACGCCGGCGACCGGCGCTTAACGGTGGTTGACCGGCCGGAAAAAAAAATCAAGAAAAAAAAATTTAAAAAAAAAAAAAAAAAAAAAAGTCAACGGCGGTCTCCGGCAGTCAACGCCGGAATCTGGCCGGAAAAAAAACATTTCAGAAAAACAATTATTTTCTGAAAAAAAAAGTTTTGGGGGTTAATGTGATATATTTGTTTAAATCCGGGGTCAATGTGTAATATTAAGGAAGTAAGAGCATAATGGGTGGAATTGATAAGAATTATATTATTGAGGGTATTTTAGACTAAAGACATGGGGATGGGCTTAATTGAGAGACTGTTTTTTTGTGGACTAAAATGCGTTTAAGTCCCATGTGATGGGCCTTTTTGCCATTTGCCCTTTTTGGTATTTATTAGTAGAAATTATACTGTAAATAGAAACTTGAGGGACAAGAAAGATGAAATTAAAGAGAGAAAAAAGAGAATGGGTGGGTACTTTTTTTTATTAAAAAATACATATATAAATGCCACTTTCGATTGTGATATAACGACTTCAGCAGAGAATGGAATATTCTACTACCAATCAATGAATACAAACATGACACATGTCTTAAATTAAAAATAGTAAAAGCATTAAAATTTGTCTTGTCGATGAATTCTTCAATTTCACAACTTCCCAATTATGGCCCAACTCCTACCCCATCACTTGGACATGTTTCTATCAATCCACTCTTTGCTACCACATCCTTCAATTTAACATGTGGGCCCACAACAAATATCTTCGGATCATTTGTACAATCGCTTGAAACGACGCCCTGCGCTTGAGCTTTAATTGATATCCCAATTACTTTGCCTCAAAAAATGCAATATTCTCCCATTATGTAGCTCCTTCGCGCAATTTTGGTGTTTCTCTTCTTTCCCTATTAAAACTGAAAATCATTCAAACCTTTCACGGATGTGACATTACCCCTGAAGATCACATTGCGCTGAATTCTACAGAAAATCTTTTTCCCAACGAATCAACATAAGAGGAAAGCATACTCAATTATTAGTAATTACCTGCCCATACAAAATTTACAAAGGGGATGTTTGGATGTGACAATGGTCATCCGGAGTAGGCACATAAGGTATTCCTACTACCCCAGTCTTTAACTTTTCTTTGAGTAAGGAGACATGGAACACATTATGTAGTTTTCCATAATCTCAAACCTTTGGATTCTTTCTCGAAACAACCAAATTTTGTCTAGACAGTTGAAGTTTGATGTTAACATCATCTCCTACCTCAAACTCCCTTTCAATTTGATATTGATCAATATACCATTCCATCATCTCATTGTGTGTTCTTTTAGAAAAAAAAAAAAAAAAACTAATCAATTTTAGAGTCTGGTTTCTGGCTTGAATGAGGCATGCCACCTCAGGACTGCCCACATCCAAATAAGAACTCATTGCTAGTATGACATCTTAAGCATGTTAATGGGGTCATTTTAAGCTAGTATGACATGATGTATTGTACCAATATTCCGTCAAATAATGACATTTAATTCTTTCCATCTGATTTAGAGAGTTCCTAAATGGAATCCATGGACATGTGGGTCTAGGCCTCTGCAGGAATTTTTGGATTGCGAATAACATTGCAATGACCTCCCTTTCATAAATGGATAGTGCCTGGTGTTTGGGATTTGGGTCCTTGCTGAGGAATGCTATTGGCCTTGAATCCTGCATCGAAACAACTCTAAACATGTAAAGTTGGCATCAGTTTCCACAAAAAAGAGTTGGTGAAATGTGGAAGGGTCAATATTGGTGAAGAGACTATTGCATTTTTCAGTTTCTGAAAAGCTAATTCAGATGTTGGTATTCAGACAAACTCTCTGTTCTTCAACATACAAGTTAAGGGCTTGCTGATATTCCCATACATCTTATTAAATTCCCTATAGTAACCAGTAAGTCCAAGGAAATCCCTCAAACCCCTGAGAATTGTTGGTTTTAGTCATTCCATCATGCTATGTACCTTTCTAGGATCACTGGTTACTCCCCTAGCACTAGTGATATGTCCCAAATATTCTATGCTATGTTGGTCAACCTGACATTTAGATCTTTGAGCATATAGCTGGTCTCTCAAAAACGTCAGAGTAATATTAAGGTGTTGCGAGTGCTCATAAAATTTTGAATCATAAACCGAAACATCATAAAGACAAACTTCTTTAAGTGCTCTGAAAACAATTGGTTCACTAAAGATTGTTGTTGGAGAATTATACAATCCAAAAGGCATTAGTAGGAACTCATAATACCATTAATGTGTCTTAAATATTGTCTTATAAATTTTCTCCTCCGTCATTCTTATCTAGAAATAGCCAAAACTTAAATCAATCTTTGTGAACCAAATAGCTCCATGAAGCTCATCTAATACCGGTATAGGGAAATCACGATTCGGTGTGAGAGTGTTGAGATGCATACAATCTATGCACATCATTCAGGAATAAACTTTCTTCTTGACTAATATATAGGATATGAAAGGAAAAATGGCTCTGACTTTTCTTTTTTGTCCCATTAGAAAGCAATTTCATCCACAATCTTCTACATTTCATCATTTGACGCATAAGAGTACCAATATGGGCATAACTTTTTGGGTACAACATCATGTTTAAGATAATATGTTACTCTACATCCTTTATATGCGGCAGACCTTGTGGTTCTACAAAGATGTCCACAAAAAATTTCGTTGCAGTGTTACTGTCTTCCTTTGTAACATTAAGGTTGGTAGTTGGTAGTTGTTAGGTTTCACTGCCTGGTTAGAAGCTGGTGTACTGTTTGATAAGTATCTTCTAGGTTGAGCCACGTGTGAGTTGGTTGGATTCTCCATATTCTAGCTCTTCTAGAACAGGATTCAAGTAACTTCCTACTTCATGGTCAATTGTACAGCATGCTCAAATGACCTAGGCTCAAAGAGTTGGAAGAACTTCTGATTTTCTGAAGGTAAATCACTTACAAAATTGTGGATGAAATAGTACTCATAATAAGTTATTGAATTAAACATCAACAAGTATGATTTCAACTCCTCAAACTTATTAATGTAATAATTCAAAGTGTTTGTGACCTTAAGCTTGTTAAACTTTGTGAGAACCTTCTCTTCCATAACGGTTTCAAATCTGGCAGCAACTAGCGCTACAAATTGGTCCCAATGTAAATCTTTCTCTTTCTGAGCTAAGTAATCATACCAAATGGCAACCTAACCCTCAAAATGTAGGGCAACCATGATAAATCTCTATCTTTCAAGTAAATTAAGCACTAGTTGGAAGTAACTATTGCACCTAAACAACCAAGCCTTACGGGTTGTCCCATCAAACCTTGGAAAATCTACCTCATGACTAAGATATAAACGTACGCAATAATGAGTTGCGGTGGTAACATCATCAGTAACCCTAGGGTTTCTCTGTTCATAAACACCCTTCCCCCAAAATGAGGTTGAGAACGGGCTTGAAATTGAGCTGGTACAGACGAGGACCTCTCTTCCATGATTGATGTATCCTTGTTGTATAATATTATCATTTATGCCATCTTAGCCATCCGGATCTGCATCATCTCCAACGTTTTGTGGAAGCGGCTATGACTGCTCCCATTTTCTGAGTATTTGACCCATGTTTCATTCATCTAGTTGAGTTGTTCATGCATGTTCATCTCCACGGCTTCCTTCATGTCCATATCCTTCTGAAATTCGAGTTCCATTTTTTCTCTCTTTGCTTCAATTTTCTTAAATCGTGTTCCTTCAACCATTTTTTTGCCTTGATTTGATCAAATCAAAACCTTTCTATAGGTACCAAACCTGAGATCCCAGGAATGTTTTGGTATTTTTTAGTAGAAATGATATTGTAAATAGAAACTTGAATGAGAAGATAGAAGAAATTAGAGAGAGAGAGAGAGAGAGAGAGAGAGAGAGAGAGAGAGAGAGAGAGAGAGAGAGAGAGGGAGGGGGGGGGGGGGGCCCAAAAAGAAGAAGAAGAAAAAAACAAGGTACACGTAGAACTGGTATTTTTTTTGATACAAAAATCTAAATGCCACTTTATGTGGTAATATAACGTTTTCAGCAGAGAATGGAATATTCTATTACAAATCAATGTATAGAAACATGACAAATGACTTGAAATAAAAATACGTAAAGCATTAAAAACATTCTTGTAGGTAAATTGTTCGATTCCAGGACTTCCCAATTACTGCCTAACTCCTTCCCAGCCCTTGGGCCTGCTTCAACCAACCCACTATTTTCTATCCCATCCCCCAGTTCAGCACGTGGGCCCACAACAAACAGTTCCAATTCATTTGCACCTACGCTTGAAACGACGCCGTGTGCTTGAGCTAGAATTGATTTTCGATCATCCCATCTCCAAAAATCCAATACTTTCCAATCCTAAGGATCCGCTTCTTCTTCCACCCCAATTCTATAGCTACACTACACGATCCCGCCGCAATTTTAGTGCTCATCTTTCTCTTCTTTCCCCATTTAAACTAAATATGCTTCAAACCTTTCCATAATGTGACTAATTTTCTCGTTTTCTGAATTTTCATTTTTTTGAATGAGAAAGTTTCTAAATTATTGAAATCTCTCAAATTGTTAGGATTTATCGATTTTATCAACTAGGAAGCAACCATTATCCAAATGAACGACAATTATCTTGATTTTCAAGTAAACTTGTCGTTTAAAAAAAAAAGAATTTATCTTATTTTTTGCAGTTGCTATTTTTAGCCATCTTACGAGCTGTAGATACTTGTATGAAACGTAGTATGTACTTATTAGTTTTTGTTCCATACACAGGTAGGGGCTCCAACCTACCCCACTCACCATCATCGGGTGTCGTTCTCTTGAAAAAATAAATAAATCAGGCTATCAATTCCCACTCAAGTATTAGTCGCAATGGGAATCAAACTCGTGATCTTGGCTCTGATACCACTTGTAGGATCTCAAACGTTACCAGTTGTCCTAAAGTTTGGGAAGGGGGTTTGGCCTAATACGTATGTGAACGGGTCCATGGAAAACATACCATTCCCTATAATATTCATAAACTTGTCAAGGGGGCCTGACTGGAGCCAAACTGTGTGCTGGAACACAATGTGCATTCGAAATCCTCCATGTACCACCCGAGGCATGGTTTGTGACTATGCAGTGTTGTCCATTTGGGTTGAGGTTACATGGCTCTCTAGACACAATTAAACCCAACGGGGCAGACTATAATTTTTTTAAATACCCCATCACACGGTCCGGCATGTATGGCTCAACTTAATCGATGAATTTGATTATATCGTGAATATCGTCCGAGGGACGCGATGATTTATATTCATCCCATACATCATCCTATCGACCTATGAGATCAGGTTTCCATAATATGCAAATAGGTGATATAGAAAAGAAAAACGCGTATATACTAGTTAAATTAAACTCACATCATATCCATTCATGTCATCTAAAAGTTTCTTGTAGTACAACAATGTGTGAGAACTTCTAGCACGGGTACATCATGCAACGAGGCTCCATTTTCCTATACTCCCATAATATATCGATGCGAACAATATGGAGGTACTCGTAAATCCATAACTTCAATTGACATAAATAAGAATAATTTAAAGAATTAAAATAATTACAAAAACTAAAACAATTAGAGAAATTTATCCGGAAAGTCCTTTCACCCAAGCTTTGGTACTTATCCCTAACTCCCTATACAAAAAAAGCAAGAGTCGTTGATGCCCATGAATACTTCCTTATTTCTCAGGGTCTTGTCCATACAATATCCACCAAGGCTTAAAATCTAATCCATAATCATCTGAACATGATGGAGCGTGACCGTCATCTCGCCCCACAACATGTAAAGATAATTCGTCTCAGGTTGCCATCTCTCCATCAAAGAGTTTATCTACGTTCCATGTGAAGCAATTCTGTAAGTTGTAAAAGTTGGTTGCTGGAAATATGCCGCTTCGTTCTGTAGGCCCATGAGTTTGAATAAATTAATCCTCAACTCACAACGTCCTAACGAAACATCATGTAAAATTAAAATTGAATAATTTAATACAACAAACAAACATATAAAAGTCATATTATTTATAAACAAGTAAGAAAATTAATCAACTTACCTACATGTGACTTAAAACTAGGTATTAAGTCGGTACACTTAAGACCACCTCCATACGGACCCTGTAGCAAGTATGACCCCGATAGTAGTTTAAAATTGCCACGGTCTGCACTGCCTCCATGGCCACCACGACTGATACGCGTTTTCCTTACGTATAAATTACCGCAAGTATACAGTATCGCATTTTGCAGAACAGTGGTTCCGGATATC